GGTGCGCGAGATAGGGATTAAGTCATGGGTCAGATGCTCGTCTTGGAAAAACGAGAGGATTAATAAGCTCATTAAGAAGGGCTTTGGGGGATAGGTTGAATTCACGTAGGTCGGATGCTTGTCACCCTTAAGAAACAATGGAGAATAAAATTAAATTTTATTGAAGCTTCTTCATCCACCTCACGGGATACATGCAAAATTTTCGACTTGAACTGATGACATAAATCGTTGTGAACTTTGATTCCAGCTGAACATTCATAACTCGAGCCTCCTTTAGTCGAACACTTAAACCTTCTTTAGATTTCGTTGACATTCATGCCTGAATTGCTTTAGAAAAAATGCAAAAAAAATTCGTTCCCCCTCAAACCTCTATGACTTGAATTTTATGGAGACCTTTTTGCAATTATTTTTTTTGACGCTGGAAATGAATAATAGATCGATGCGAAACTTGATGTGCTTTGGAAGGATGAAGTGAAAGATGAATTATTGGGCAGATGAGTCCTTTCTTCCCAAATCAGCCCCGTGTAAACTCATTGAAGAAACAAATTAACAGTACATCACGAATCACAATTTCCTGCAATGGTTACTTATTATTTTCTTTCCATCGACACACATTTTTGTTTCGCTGACTTAAAAACCTCTTCCGTCGAAATTTCTTCGCTGGTTCCTCGAAGATCGACTTCGACTCTACTTTTGGAATCAATCTACAAATCCGTTGGAAATGCTCTCTCATTTTACAACTTTGAATGCTATTTTTGGGAACATCAAAGATACAGAGGCAAAGCTATGTAGGAGGATTAAATAATAAATTAATCCAATTCGGTGTCGAAACTCATGCACATTTTCTCTTTTTCAGTTGCTGGTCTTACGTGGGCATGGACACCCTGGGACCCCAGGTTCTGAATCTTCAATGGCCTGGTTGTTGGGTGACCGGAACCATCATTCATGAACTTTTGCATGCCTTCGGTTTGATTCATCAGCATCAGCGATACGACAGAGATAATTACATTACGATTAAAACGCAGAATGTTGAATCAGGTATATATGGTCTCTATCTGATTTTAATTTATTTAATTTTAAGTTAAGCATCTT